TTTCAGTAACTTCATAAAGTCTAATGTTACAATCTTGACCATTGATGAGACACTTTATTCTCCACGTTTCGGAAGATCGTTGTTGAGTTTCAAAGATATTAGAGATAATAATTACCACACTGAAACCTATGTAGAAAACGAAATTGAATTTCTATGCATCACTTCCTACGAATATGGCCAGAAGTGTATTCTAGAAAAGATAGAGCGTATCCCGAGTGGTCTGTATACTACGACCATACGCCCTATAGAAAGCCACTATGTGGCCGACCTTACCTTTAGGACCGTGCATTAAATTATACTTTGGCATGATCGTTTGGGACACCCTAGACGAACAGCGATATGTCGTATCCTCAAATCATCACACGAGCATCCACTAACCCGAAGTTTAGCTTTGATTCAAGGAATCACATGTCAAACCTGCTCCATAGGAAAGCTTCTTTTCGTTCGAATCCTTTTATTTTTCTACAAATGATTCAGAAGGACATTTATGGGCTGATTCACCTTCCTTGCGGAGTTGACGCTTCCACACGTTGGTCACATGTGCCTTTGTTGTCCATAAGGAACGCTGCATTCTCCAAATTGTTGGCTCAGGTTATCAAGCTCAGGGCTCACCACCCTGATTATCTGATCAAATCTATTCGATTAGATAATGCTAGAGAATTCACATTGAAATTTTTTTATAACTATTACATGTCGATTGAGGTTGAAGTTGAACATCTAATACCTCATGTTCACACCCATAATGGCTTGGCAAAGGCATTCATTAAGCACTTACAAATGATTACTCGATCGTTAGTCATATGTACCAAACTCCAGATCGCTGCTTGGGGCCAGACAATATTGTATGCAGCCATGTTGGTTAGCCTGAGACCTGTTCCAACCCAACCATATAACGCCCTTCAGTTGGTTACTAGATACAACTCGATATATTGCATCTACGCATTTTTGGTTGTGCAATCTATGTTCCGATTTCGCCGCCCTTACGTACAAAAATGGGAGATCAGCAAATGATGGGAATCTGTGTCAGTTATGATTCTTTTTCAATCATTCGTTACTTAGAACCTTTGACAGGCGATCCGTTTACCGCTCGTTTTACGGATTATCACTTTTATAAGACAGTATTCCCGTCGTTAGAGGGAGATAAGAACGTCAACTTTCCTGAAGAACGATGAGAATTATCTTGGATGACTCTCACTTTGTCTCATTTAGATCCACACACCACTCAGTCTGAGACTGAAGTGCAGTGCATATTAGATCTTCAAAGCATAGCTCAAAGCATGCCATATGCTTTCACCGATCTAGTGTTAGTGACAATATCACATATTTCGGCTGCGAATGTGCCTGCAAAGATGGATGTACCAAATGTACGATGTACTTCCCTCATGGAGGCCTAAGACGCCACTTTGGCAGATCTACGTACATTAATGGCTAGCTAATTATTTGCCCCTAGACACAAGCATGGCAGACCACTTGGTTCAAAGGATTCACACCCTCGAAACAGGAAACCCACAGCACAGGCCCCTGAAGAGCCTACCGTGAATCCGACTGTCACCTACTCATTATATCCAACTCATGAAGAAATACTAGATTATGGAAGTGTCCTTAAAGAGATGAATCCACCTACCGAGAATTATGAGATTTTGGTCCATTATGCTTGCTTGGATGATGTTTGGTGTAGAAATGAGATATTCATCGTTGATGCATTAGCATATGCAGCTACTGAGATCATGTTGAACGATGACATTGAACCTCGTTCCGTTAATGAACTGATTGGTCAAACTGGAAACAAGCAACCCAAGTCAAACTCAATTCGCTTGTGAAACGTAAGGTGTTTGGACCTATAGCTCCTACTCCTTCACATGTGAAGCCCGTTAGCTACAAATGAGTTTTTGTTCGGAAGTGTAATGAGAAGAACGAAATTGTGCGTTACAAAGCTCGTCTTGTTGCACAAGGCTTCTGACAATGCCCCGGGATTGACTATGACGAAACTTATTCATCCATTATGAATGTGATTACTTTTCGCTACCTTATCAGTTTGGTAGTTTCCGAAAAACTGAGTATGCAACTGATGGATGTAGTAACTGTGTACCTCTATGGGGATCTTGATACGGAAATTTATATGAAAGTTCCTGAAGGACTTACATTGAATGGATCAAATATTTCCAACCCCAGAACACGTTCTCAATTCGGCTGAGGCATTCACTCTACGGTTTGAAGCAATCAGGAAGAATGTGGTATAATCATCTGAGTGAGTATTTGACTAGTCAGAGATATGTAAACAACGAACTATGCCCTTGTGTGTTCATTAAGAAGTCATATTCCGGTTTTGGGATTGTTGCAGTATATGTCGATGACATGAATCTCATCAAAACTCCTTAAGAGCTCGCGAGAATTGCTGCGCACTTGAAGTCGGAATTTTAGATAAAAGATCTAGGAAGACTTAATATTATCTCGATCTCGAGATAGAGCACCGTTCGGATGGAATCTTAGTACATAAATCGAACAACACCCAGAAAGTGTTGTGCCGTTTTAACGAGGATAAAATGAAGCCTTCGAGTACTCCTATGGTCATTCTTGCTAGATGCAAAACGAGATCCCTTCCATCCGAAGGAGGATGATGAAGTGATTTTGGAGCCTGAAGTTCCTTATCTAAGTGCGATAGGCGCTTTATTGTACTTAGCTCAATGCACTAGACTCAACATCTCATTCGTTGTTAATCTTTTGGCAAGATACAGTAATGTACCAACACGCAGACACTTGATTGGTGTTAAAGACATTTTCTGCTACCTTAAGGGTACCACATATTTGGGTTTGTTCTATCCTTACGGATCCTCAAGTGATGCCACACCCTTTTATCTCAAGTCGATTATCACCTTGTTGGTTATGCCGACGCATGATACTTATTTGATCCGCACAAGGAGGGTTCTCAAACGGGTTATGTCTTTACTATTTGAGGCACTGCAATCTCTTGGAGGTCAACTAAACAGACCTTAGTTGCCACTTCGTCTAACCATGCTGAAAGGGTTGCATTAAAGGAGACAACACCAAGCACATTGCGTCGAAGTTTTTCTTCTCACATCAACAACAAAAGCATCAGAAGATTGAAGTCACGCAAATCCGTTTACAAGACAATCTGGCCGACCTTTTCACCAAATCACTACAGAATGTGACGTTTCAGAAGCTTGTTCAAGGAATAAGTATGCGTAAACTTTTTTAGTAGTAACATTGTTAGTTTTCTTTGGAATTGTGTCTAACTCAGGGGAAGTATCCTGAAGTATACTTGCTTGATCTTAATGTACTCTTTTTCCCTACGATTATGAGCATTTTTCCCATTGAATTTTTGCTACCTAACGAGGTTTTGAAGAGCCACCCACCTTGGGTTGATCATATCCCTGATGACGTCTCGTAGACGTTTCATTTGACTTTGCATTACTCACGCATTTTTCCTTAGACTATGGATTTTGTCCCTACTTGGGTTTTAACCATAGCCTTAAGGTTTTTTGTGAGACTTAGTTCCTTATGCAAGTTCCTACCTTATTGAGACTAGCGTGTCCCCAAAATCAGTGCTGATGAGTCGACTTTCTTAACTACTACTTGGTATTTACACACTCAAGGGGAGAGTGTTATAAACTTTTTATTTAAGTGTGATTGTGTAAATCATAGATTAAATTTGATTCTAGTTATTCTTCCTTATTAGGACTTGTATTCCTTGGAGGAGAAGGATTTCCTCTCTCCCTTATTACTATAAATAAAGGCACTGCATAGGGGGAAGAACACATCCTCTACACAACCGCATCTCTCTCTATATTTTCTCTGTGCCGCCAGCCCCTTCCCCTATCAGTTAAATATAGGCCACAACAAACACAACCCCTTTTAATAGCTGATTACTTTCATTTGTTATTTTAAATTTAACATTAAAAAAAGGTCAATTACACGCGCCAAAGAGGCTACTCAGGAAAGTTTCTATTAAGTAAACATGTTATTAGTAGTCTTAAGAAAAATGTTCCCACATCACTTTGCTCTATTAATCCAACACTTTGATAGTTCCTTAGGCAAGTAAACAACTAATCATTTCCATTTGATGGGAAGAAACTCTAATAGATTGTGTAATCTATTTTTTAATAAAAATTGGTGAACATATCTATTCAACGACTATAATGTAAAAGGGCCCCCAATTTTTCACTCTCATATTTTCATTTATTTCCTTTTATTCTTAGTTAATGGGATTCTCTTCGGTTTACTACGCAACCAATATTGTACTTATATTCTACACTATGAGATTCAAATTCGAGTAATTAGAGAATGTAATTCGTTCTAGTCAATGTAGGTGAAAAACATCATTTCACACTTCAATCAAGGATTAAATAGACTTCAATAACAGGTTCACCCTTGCACTTGATACGCATATAGACAAAAATAGGTCGAAATTGCCACTCAGTATTACAGTTTGGTGGTATTTCTCTTTACTTGTAAGTGAGAAGTCTTAGGTTCAAATCTCGTGGATGGCAAATTCGATACCAAATTAGATTGCACATTTTGTGGCTTAGCCGAACTTCCCCCTCCCCTTAGTGTAAAATATATTGTTGTATTAAAAAAAAAAGTCGAAATTAGAATGAACAGTTTGATTTGGAAAAAAATTGATAGCATGTTTAACCACAAGAGGATTATCAAAAGGGATCAAACTAAAAAGAGAAATGCTAAGGAGACTCTCCACTGACTCTCTGTCACCTCATGTTTTTTTAACAATGTTTTATAATGTTGGTATAGAAATTGACGTCAAACTGTGATATGACAATGAGTCCATAAAGAGTCCTATTTTGAAAGAGTTCGCTTAGCATTTCCCGACTAAATATTACCTAGTTAGATTGCAAATTTTGAAGTAGGTACCGTTGGTCCTCAGTTTTCAGCATTAACTCCTTTTGGCATTTGGTAGAAGTGAAACATTATACTTCAAGACGGACGGATGGAGACTAGTCTGTCTCCTTCACCAAATGCTCATAAGAAAAGCCAACTTCTTTGTATCCTCTCTCTCTCTCTCTCTCTCTCTCTCTCTCCCCTTTCTTTCTGCTCCTTCACTTTACAGAAAGGACCAAAACAAGAGACAAGATAAACATTAAGGACAGTCATGTTTTTGTAGTTTTTTCGTTTGTTTGGTTTGTTCAAAACCTGCATGAATAACTTCTACAATGGAGGAGGACTGTTTTGTTGATAGTTTGACAACATGTGATGGGATCCATGGACGAGGAGACACTCATCACCGCCGCAGACGCCCTCGCCACCACCGCCGCCGTTTCTCGGCACCGGCCAAGTCCAACAACAGAGCACCGAGTCCAGTCACAAAAGTTCATGAGCTTCTTGAATGCCCTCTCTGTTCAAAGTCCATGTTCCCACCAATACACCAGGTGTGTTTATTTAGTCCTCTCATTTGCCATAGTGGGGTTACATTAATTTTCTATTTTTGAAAATTTGGAAAACTAACCGTATTATATTATACATTAAGGATTTTTTGGCCTTGTTTTCCAAGATTTAGATATCTAACCATTTGAGGCTCCCTCAAGCGTATCGCTTGAGGCTTCCTTCAAAAGTAACGCTTGAATCTTCCTAGTGCATGCACGAAACCCCTTCAGTGGTTAAAATTCAAAAAGTTTAAAACATGTGGCTAAAAGTTTTTAAAGCGTCCTAAATGTGGTTATTTAAAAATATTTTTTTTTTGTAGTATTGTAATTGCTTTTGATGACTATTATTAGTTTTGCTTGGTTTTGGAAATGCGAGGATGAGGGTATTTTCTTCAAAAATATCATAAAGAATGCAGATGGTTTTGGGGATGTATTCAATTATGAGTTTAAAAGAGTTTATAAATCTATATGTATTCAATCAAAATTTTAAATGAATTCATGGAAATCCATAAGTATTCAATTAAGATTTTAAATAGGTTTATAAAACTCTATAGAAATATGAGTGTATTTATCTGGATTTTAAAGTAGTTCATAAAACTCCATATGTATTCAATTATGATTGAATTTTAAAATATATTAAAAGATGAAGGATTTTGGGATTTAGAGGAATTTTATAGTTTTTTTTAGGCTTTAAGAAATAAGGCCTCAACCCTTATGATTTCTAATGATTATTTCACCAAAAATTCATATGAAGTGTATAAAACTCCATGGATTTATAAATCTTTTAAAATCTTTCAAAATCTCATGGCTCGTTTGGAAGTATTTTTGAAATTATTAATAGCGCTTTTAAAGAAAATGTTTCGGTTCCAAAAGCAGAAGCACAAGTGGAAGCACTTCAAGTGCTTTTCAAGAATTCATTTTTTACTAAGAATTGGTTCTAAAAACATTTGCATTAAAAACGTTTTCAGTCATTTTAAAAACACTTTCAAACAAGCCCTCAATTAAATACAACCCCTTAAATCGGAGAACTGAATTGGTGTCTAATGATGGTTTGAGTTTTCTTTAAGTTTCATTATGTTTTGGAGTTGGGCAAGAGACTTTTAAAGTACAAATAACTTTATATCCAATTGCTAAAAGTACACTACAAAGAGTCTGAGATGAAACTTAAAAATTACTCGATCACTATAAAACTATAATAAAATATATTTACAACAAACAAACGATAAATAACTTGATGTGTCACTACAAAGGACTTTCGAAATGACTCATTGGTAGATATCATTAGAAAGTTCTTTCAAATATATTGCATCTAGTCATTTTCAAGTTCCTCCATTATTTTTTAAGTCCTTCGTTCATAGCATAGGGTTGGATTTCACACAAATGAACTACTAGCCCCAACTAATTGGTCCAACACTGATATTATCTCCAACTTACCATTTTTATAGCCCATCAGGTACGACATTTTATCACAAACAATCCTAGTGTTATTAGTAGTGCAATTGCTACGATTGAGTGCTATTTTACATGCGTCAATAGCAACTACACTTTCACTTGGATTTACTACTTACATTACAAGTGTTAGACTTAAAACTAGTTGATTCCGAAAGTCTCTGTTCTGCAGTGCCCAAACGGGCACACTCTGTGCTCAATCTGCAAACTGACGGTGAACCGGTGCCCGACTTGTCGAGAAAAACTCGGCGACATCCGATGTCTAGCATTGGAGAAGGTGGCAGAATCACTAGAACTGCCTTGCAAGTATTGCTCTTTGGGGTGCATGGAGATCCTCCCTTACTACATCAAACTCAGGCATGAGGGTCACTGCTACTTCAGACCATACAGTTGCCCTTATCCTGGATCTGATGAGTGCTCAGAGGTTGGGGATGTTCCATTTTTGGTTGACCATCTGAGAGAAGATCACAAGGTTGACTTGCACATTGGTTCAACGTTTAATCACCTCTATGTTAAGTCGAATCGCCGCGAAGTAGAGTGTGCAGCAAGGATGCTTATGGTAAGTGTTGTTTCTTTGTTTGGTTTTGATTGGTGGAAATTGAGAATGAATTTGGGTAGTGTAGAGTAAAAGTGATAAACGGCTCGTTTGACCTTACTTTTTTGAAGGCTAAAGAATCTTTTAGCTTCGAAGTTGAAAACAGAAAAGCAAGTTTTCCTTTCAATTTCATAGATGGGTTATGGGAATCAAATTGAGCTTCAAAATTAACAAAGTGAAAACGAAGTCGAAAGCTCTCACCAGCAATTGCAGATGGAGACTATGGAGACGATGGAGTACTTGCAGACGGAGACGATAGAGACGATGGACGGACGGACGAAGCAATTGCAAACGACAAGTCTAATTTCTGAGGTTCGAAATCATTTTGGTTTTTAGTCAAACAATCGTTTCAGTTTAGCTAATTTGAATCAATCACGATTATGTGCCGATTTATTGGATTTTTTTTTCTCTGATTTAGTTTGAAACGTATCCGAAAAGTATGATACACGTATCTCAACGGTATGATACTCGTATCTCATCAATAAACAACGTATCCATTCATTTTGATACGTATTGGGCCCGTATCCATGCATATTCTGTGCGTATTCATATCCCTGCGTGTCAAATACGGGATACGCTGACTTTTCCCTGTGTCCATGCATCGTAGCTTGACAATCTTTGGCTTAAATATTTAAAAAAAATCTTTTGAATTACAAAAATGTTTTATGGAGTGACACATAGAGCCTGTTTGGAAATGCTTCCTTAGAAACTACGATGCATAGACATGGGGAAAAGCCAACGTATCCCTTATCTGACACGTATAGATACGAATACGCACAGGATACGCATGGATACAGGCCCGATATGTATCAGAACGAATGAATACGTTGTTTATTAATGAGATACGCGTATCATACTATCGAGACACGCGTATCATATTTTTCGGATACGTTTCAAACTAAATAGAGGATAATCAGAGAGAGAAAAAAAATCCAATAAATCCGCATAGAATCGTGATTGATTCAAATTAGCCAAACTGAAACGATTGTTTGACTAAAAACCAAAATGATTTCAAACCTCAGAAATCAGACTTGTCGTCTGCAACAGCTCCGTCTGTCCATCGTCTCTATCGTCTCCATCTGCAATTGCTCCGTCGTCTCCATCGTCTCCATCTGCAACTGCTGGTGAGAGCTTTCGACTTCATTTTCACTTTGTTTATTTTGAAGCTCAATCTGATTCCCAGAACCCATCTCTGAAACTGAAAGCAAAGCCTGCTTTTCTGTTTTCAACTTCGAAGCTAAAAGATTATTTTGCTTTGACTGATTCAAAGACTTTTAGCTTATCTGTTGTGTTATGTAAATTGGAAAAGCTAAAAGTCCCTTTTGCCTTTTGTATATAATATTATTATTATATTTTGTATGCTTATTTTAGCTTATCCTTCTATTTAGAGTTTATTGAAATAAATTTAAGTTTGAGTAATAAATTTGAATGCTTATTTTATAATATTTTAGATATATTTATTTATTTATATTTTTAATTGCCGTGTCCTAGACGTATCATGTTTTTATTTTTAGAAATTTAACTTGTTCCCGTGTCGTATTGTATCATATCTCCGTATCCGTGTTCATGTCCGTGCATCCTAGCTTAGAGGCAACCCAACATTTTGAACAAAAATCCACCCAGAAAAAGTGTTTCTACAGCTAAAAGTATTTATAAGTCCTTATAGAACTTAAGAACTTGGAGTTGTAATAATATTTTTTTTTTTATGCTTCTAACATAACTAGCTATAAGAAGAAGCGCTCTATATAAAAGCATTTACAAACGAGCCGGGACCCTGTTTACCAAATGGGTAATGGGTTGGCTCTAATCTTAGCATCTATGGTAACTGGTGAATGTATGACGTGTTTGTTTTCCTAGATGCTCGCCTTCACATTCTTTATATTTTGTTAGGTTTTCAACTGTTACAACCAGTACTTCTGTCTGCACTTTGAAGCCTTCCACCTCGGCATAGCTCCGGTTTTCATTGCATTCCTTCGCTTCATGGGCGATGCGGCTGAGGCACGAAGCTTCAGCTACAGACTGGAGGTGGGCAGCAACAGCAGGAAACTAATATGGGAAGGAACCCCTCGGAGCATCTGTGACAGCCATCAGAAGGTCAGGGACAGCCATGACGGTCTCATAGTCCAGCGTAACATGGCACTTTTTTTCTCCGGTGGAGATGGAAAGGAGCTCAAGCTTCGGATCTCCGGACGGATTTGGAAGGACAACAGTGCCTAGATGGAGCCTGGAGGGGTGTCCACACCCAATCTATGCAATTGGTGGAATCTGGAACCCCCTTTGCTCTTCCGTTCGATGCTCAGTTGTCCGTCTGTTTTGTGTCAAATTTTGGTGTTGTTTCTTAAAAGTTCGAACTTATGAGCCTACCCTCAGCACTTGAGCTAAAGCTCCTTGGCAAATTTTGGTGGCGTTTTTGTGAATGGATACCAGAGTATTGTGGATATCAAAGACTTTTTTTATATACTAACCGATATTCTACTCAACTAGTGGGGAATTTGAACAAAGTTATATAATAAGTTAGCAATAATAATTAGAGGTATCGAACTTGTTGACCAAATAAGTCAAACTTGAGTCCTCTCACTTACAAGTGGAGAAATATCAGTAAGACGTAGTCTCATTTTTAACAAGGACATGATTCTTATTTAAATATGAGTAATGCTATGGAGACTAAATTTGCAAACTAAATGACGTATCACCAATAGGAATGAACATGTTTATCAACGCTTAAGTTATAATTCAATTATCAACTTCTATGTTATTCAGTTTACAAAATTTTATCTACAAATTTAGTCTGTATAGCATTGTCCTTAAATAGTATGCGACGGATGAAATTATGTCATAATTGTGGTGTCCCGGATCTCTTCATCCATTCAACATAAGATGCTATTGTATTTTATCAAGCAACAGAACCTAACTATCACTACCACTTGTTTTGGATTCCATAATTCAAAAACTCAAGTTTTGCCGCTTTCTCTGGGAAGGGGATCCTGTCCGGATCTCTCCCACCAAAGGCCCAGGATCAAGTGATCCGGACTGTTGAAATTTGATCTAATGGCTACAATTATTATGATTTTAAAGGGATCCCATGTTTGTAGCCGTTGGATCAAATTTCAACGGCCCGGATCACTGGATCCTCTTCCCTTTCTGTGGTAGCTTACTTTACGGGGGTGAGTTTTTAATGTGACTTTTACTAACCATTAGAAAGTCTATACATTTTAGAGACTTTTAATAATATACCTTTGAGGAAAAGAAAAGAATTAAATGATAAACTTTTGTAGAATTCTACAGAGTTCAATGCTAAAATTATAGAATTTCATGGATTGCCATGAAATTTTTATTGACCAATTTATTAATAAGTATTATTATTATTATTTGTAAATTTCCATTATTGAAATAGTAATAATGACCATGCCAAAGTGGCCTTACGAGGTGGTGGTAGTGGCAACGATGGAGGTAAAAGTGTCACGTGGTAACTGTTGGCAAGATAGTGGTTAAGTTGGTGTCTATTTGGTGATTATCATGGGGGGGGTGTTGAGGTGGTTGAGGAGTAGGTAGGCATGGTGACGGGGTGGTGATGATGGCGGTATAGTTGGTGGTCATGGTGGTGGTGGCTGTGGTGGTCATAATGACGCTCTAATGGCAATGACAATGGTGGCGGCGATAGCGACAGTGGTGGCAATGATGCTCCTTAAAAGTCTATTGAATACAATTGAATTTGAGAGTCAAGATTAAGTCTATCAAACTCCATATACAATACACCCCCTTAGTCATGAAGAATTCAATCGGCTTTTGTTTCGATGGACCTTCCTTTCCCATATGAAATGATTGTCCGTCGGCCCTTTCAGGTGTTTAGAATGCTAAGTATTCTTGAGAGACCCTATGGAAGCAACTATGACCAAATGTCATGCACATTAACTGATGATATTCTTGTATATGACCGGAGCTCAGGCAGGAAAACTCACCTGGACATATCTTCCGAGACACGTTTCCTTCATCAACTTGTACATTGTTTTGGGTTTGGGGTGCTTTTACAAGGTCTCTCGAAGCTATTTACAGATTGTTGAAGGTTCTGAACGATTTGAGAGCTGAAAATGACTTTCGTTATAGAGGATCAGCTGTTTTCGTTCTGTTGGGCTGTCTCAACATACTGCTCCGCGAGTTTCTTCACCTTCTCACCTTCCTTAATTAGGAAATTTGCATTCTTGGATTTAGAATGGTATTTCATAACCTTATCAGTTGTTTTTGCGACAGCCCACTTGTATTGTTCAGCCGTAATCACGCCACTCTTGCATAGCGGTCTGATGTGCTCTTTAATGTAGGCTTCCACCTGTAAAGGATTGGAAACAAGTCAGCCCAACTGACATATTTCAATTACCTTAAGTTCATCCACAGAAAAAATCCTTTCATACGGGTTTAAAGAATGAAACAAGAGCAATGTAAAGGAATCTAAAGTTTGTTTTAGGGAAAAGTGACTGAGAAATACCTTCTTAGATACAGAACCAACGCTGTTAGACTGGTTGTTAGAATCCGTAGTGGATTTCTTCTCCTTCGTATCAACATTTTCACCTGGTTGTATGTGGTTCGCTGAGTTGCATCCACCACTGGCAACAAGCATCTTTTTCAAATTGTTCTCCTTACCCAATCCATTTGTTTTTACTGCTTGGTTTGACTTTGGCGCACAATTTTCATTCTCTTTAGAATCTTTATCTTTAACCAAAGCTTCATCAATCAATCCAGATAGCTTTTCTGATGCTTCTGGAACTTTCGTTATCAGTGGCTCTTTATCGGGTCCATACAATTCTTCACATTCTGCAACAGAAAGTTCTTCACCTTCTTTACCGAACAAGGATTCCAGAGGAACGCTAGATTCGTCAGTCCCACCCTCCATGATGGAGTTTTCCAAACCTGAACAAGTATGATTCTCGAGCATGCTGGAAGAATCTTTTTGTACTTCAACAGTCGTCTCTGTCTTCTCAGAATCTAGATTCTGATTAGATCTTTCAGGTTGAAGTGTAGAGAACACCAGTTTCAATTTTGGTGCCCCTTCTTCTGGTTGTGGATTGGAGATTTTTGCAGCAGCAGCGCCAATGTAGTCTTCCTCTTCCAAATTATACTCAAAGTCACCATATATGTCCAGATCCGGCTGAAAATCCATTTCAAATACATTATCAGACCCTTCCTCTCTGATATCTAACGAGGGGCCATCTTCTTCAGCAGGAACTTCCACATTGGGATGTGGACTATTTGGAGGAGAATCGGACAGAAGACCAGCATTTCTCAGTGCTGCTTCAATTATAGGATCAGTTGGAAGTTCATTGGCAGCTTGTTCTGCTCTATCAGCAGGGACTGAAGATGGGGATGAACTATTTACCGGGGCTGCACCTGCACTAGACTTCCTATTTTCTGAACGATGCAATATCTCCTGGGAACATAGATTCATATACACTAGCTTGCTGCTTGACCTATCAGCAACCCCCTTTTCTATATTTATTGCATCTACAACAGCTAACTCCATATCCGCAGTTCTACGGATCACCCACAGATTCGCTTTCTTCAAAAAGTGCTCAGTCAGACGGTACAGCTGTGTCTGCAAGGCAGATGTTTATAACAAGTCCAAACAATCAATTAGCCTCCAGTTTCATGAAAGTAAACAAATAAATTATGTTAAAAAGAACTTGTAACTTGTACTGACATATCCTAAGAAACTCATGTTGGCGCTCTCATCAGAGTGGTGGTAATATCAGTAGCAACGGTTAAAACAATGGTAATGACTTTGTTGTTGTTCGATTGAGGTGGTGTTGGAAGCAGTGGTGTGTCCTAGGTTACGTTTGCTTGATGAATCACTCCTCATGCAAGATTATGAGAAATTAGGGGGCAAGGTTCCTTTCTAACATTTCCTCATAAGAAAGCTCAAAAAACTACCACCTTTCTAATTTTCCATTCAAAGACCAACAGAAGGCAACACCTTTTTCATGTTCAAAATATTTCTTAATAGAAAGACCTTACGGAGTAACCTATCAAGTATCAAGAGAATTGATTAAATTCGATATCTAGGACACACCAATATTGGTTAGTAGAAGAACACATACAAGGTCTTCATACCTGCCTCACTGATAAGGGGATTTTATTATGACGACTGGGTGCCAAAACTGGCCTCATGTCTATTGGTAATTGAGCCTGCTCAAAGCAACCACAAATTTTATTATATGATCTGCAGAACCAAACAGCATAAACAAATGGTTTTAAAGTAAAGCTTTTACATACTAGCAAAGGGTAATTCGCTTTGAGTGTGTTGTCTTCCTGTTTTTCATTTGTCGTTTTTGTGCCTGCACCACTTTTCCTGGCAAGAACTTCTAGAGCCCATTTTCTTTTGTCAGTTTTATCAACCACTTCACTCGTGGTTTTAGATTTGGAAGCACCAGACAAAGAAACCAAGGACCCTTCCAAGCGTTTGTCTTGATGTACTCTGTTAGACGCAGCGCCATTCTCTGAGCTTGGAACATTATTCTTAGTCCCATATTTCTCCAATGAAGGAACCCGGCCTTTTGATGAAACCGTACTCGTTTCTGTGGAATTTGAAGTAGAATTATTAAGAGATGACTTTGAACACTTTTCATTCAAGGCAAGCTGTTTATTATTCTGCTCTGTATTACCAGCAGTTTTAAGAGGTAAGAGCGGCTTAATATCATCTTTTCTTGGGAGTACCGATACATCTGCTAAATATAACCTGGAAAGAATTGGATTTGTGGACTGCTTATCGGACACCTGCTCTGTATCTACACGCTCTGACCTCTCTTTCAGAAGGTTAAGAACTGACTTCAAAGTCTCAATCTTTTCAGGCTCTGTAGTTCCTAAGCTGCGATGCTTCCAAAATTCGATTTGCCAGTCCCGGTCCCATGCACGTTTTCTTCTTCCATTGGATGTCCCGTAAATCTTTTTTGTTAGATTCACACGTACTTTTCCCTTCTGCAATATTGCCTTCTTTGCGTTCAGTGCCAAATGTGGTACCTTCTTAACAGGTTCAGTTTGAGGTCCTCCTGCTATAGCAGTCCTAAAGGCATGAAGAAGCTTTGGATTGAAAAGGTTTTCGCCAATACCTTTTGAAGAAATTTTACCGACAGCTTCTCTTATTTCTTTTCTCAGTGTCTGAACTGTCACAGGCGAGTCCTTGTCCTCAGCAGCTCTCCTCATGATCTTTTTAACTTTCAAACCAGGCACAGTTTCTTGTTCTTGTGATGATTTATCAGCAGTATTAGAGTGTGCAATCCCCTTAGAAGATTTAGGCTTCGTAGTTCTAACAATGCTCATTATATCGGAAGTGGTGTTCCCCTCAACAGGTTGAGATGATAACATGCTATCTTTATGAGCTACAGTCAGGATAGAACAGTTTTCAGAATCATCTGGAACAGATTCTTTGGCTTGGTCATTGGAACCCACGCATTGTGTCTTCTCATCCTCTCCGATTTTCTTAGCAGAAACTTTGGTCTCAATCTTAGGGTCAGTATCTCCATCATCCTCAATGATATGAATGTCATCGCTACCAAAAGGTCAAGGTAAAATAAAGTCAGAACTCTTGTTCTACTTGCTATGAAGCATGTAAAGCCAGCAAATCAACATTTGAATTACAAATTCTTCAGGAAAAAGACAATAAAATAGAAGGCTGCTAAGATACAAGTGTGAGGATAATGAAACCGCTTAAAGTTAACCTGCATTTTTGTTCAACCAGTTGAGTTGACTTCTGCCGACATTTTCTTAATGCTTTTTGATATTTTAGTGATGAGTTTGCATTGCATCAAAGGGAAATAAAAGAGAGCTTTTGAGGAATATTTATAAAGCAGAAATTGAAAACTTGTGTCGCATGCATGCATTTTTATGCGAATAGAACAATAATTGGCCAAACCTACATATTGATTTAGTTTAATCTACAAACTACAATAATACAATGGAATTAGAAATATAGTAACCACCTTACTGGAATCCAAAAGACAGGAAAAAGAGAGATGCCCTGAAACCAAAATCTAATACACGACGAACGTGCCAGCTGAATGAATCAAGGTCTACTATGGATAACAGAAAGACAACATATCCAACATAAAGTAAGAAACATCAGTGACATACAGAGTTGAGGGTAGTAGAAAGAAACACAATACAGCCGACATAATTTAGGAATATTAGAACAACAATTACACGACTGATGGTGGCATCATATGATAGCAGTAACAAAACCTGAGGCTCATAGCTAGCACTAATTGCTGAAAACCGTATAAGAATGACAAGTGACCTGCAATCAATACGCTTTCTCTTTCCACCAGAAGTCGATCCAGGGGCATCCAAATTAGCATCTGGTACAATTTCGTCAGCTGAAAACATTTCAATAATTAAGCAAAGTGCACGAGTGACTGGTGAACAAACAATTTAATTTTTTAAATTTGTTTTGCTTCCACTCCCAAGCAAAAAGAAAACACAGCAAATGATGAATAAATATACCTATAGGTGAATATCCTTCCCAACGATCGTGCTGCTTCACATCCTCAGTCACTTCTTTTGGTACGAGAGTGTCGGCTAGAAACATTCAACAATAAGCAAATGGTACATGAGTGACTGTTGTAAACTTGTATTTAATTCGAAAAATAACTCTCTCTGCTCTCTTCCCCGTCCAAAACACAGAGAGAGAGAGAGAGAGAGAGAGAGAGAGAGAGAGAGAGAACAAATGATGCTTAAAATAGCTTCATACCTTTTGAAAAATATTCTTCTGAAGGATTGTGCTGCTTCACATCTTCAGTGTCATTATTATTCATGCCAGCAGCTAGAGGAACATAAAAAACAAATAAATAAGTTGAACATGGTAAGCATATGAAAACTTCAGTTATATGCTATCCTAACTTGAAATAAAGGAAGCTCAAAAAAGGAAAAATATATAGATTACCAGACAAAAACGAGACCACAGATAACCCAAGATGAAGACCCACATTGGAGTCATTGTCAGACTGTTTGTTACTAATCTGTGATTCATCAAAGGTCTTTCCAGAAGCATTCGTGATGCCATCAAAACTACTAGGCTCATTCGTTGATCCATCAGTACTCATCCTTAACTGCGTTGGTGCTAAAGAATTTGAAGGTAAACTGGAGGTATCACTGGATAGGGACAGTTTTAGTTGCTGAGCTTCAAGAACTGGTTGGTTAATATTTCTTTCCCAGGAAGGTTTTTCCAATTTGTGGCTATTGTCAGTAGACAATACCAATTCTTTAGACTTCAGGTCCTTTCCAACTTCACCGGCTGGCAAAATGCTTTCACTTGGTTTTCCATACCCACGATTTTCGCCAGCCATTGAGACCACAACAGCTGTCTCACCACTATCAGCAACAGAAACAGATACCTTTCTAGAAAGATTATCCTCAGCTTCAGGTTCACCATTAGCATTTTCTGGACCATACTGTTTGTTAGACCTCTGGACTGAACCTGCATCTGATTTTTTTGTCATCTCATCAACTACACATCTACAGGAAGACAAAACAAACCAAAAATCAGGATTAATAAAAAAAATCAGTATGACAAATTAGACGAAAAGAGGGGACATAGGAATTTTGGGAAAAAAAAAAGAGAAATTTGTAATCCATTATGCCTATAAATCTTGAGGTGGATAAATAAGGATTGCCAAAGCTCACTAATCAGTCCAAACCTAGAGGGATTGTTACTTGGCAGCAATTGTAAACATAAATGGTTCGCTTTGTCCCCGAGTCACAAATCAGATGGTATCATTACCTGACTTGACTGTTTAATCTAATTGGTTGACAACTCAAGATACGGATCTCCACAACAAAAACAAAGCTCTCATAGAAAGGAAAAGGACCGACAACCTAATTATCTCCATTGACTTTTATTTTAAGGGAACGGCCCATGACAAGTTGTTATTGATATTATAACAAAACAGGATCTATAAGGAAAAGCCACAGACTAGGTTCAGCAAAGGAGGCAACAGAGCAACACCCATGAACAAAGGAATGATCCGCATGTAACTTACCTTGGGCATAACCATGTACTCTCAGATGTGCCCTCCGCATCAAATCCCACACAGAAAGCATGGTACCTGTTTCGATTCAGGTCAAAAAGCAATTAGAAACTAATTTTTTATAAAAGAATATATTTTAATGGAAAGAGTTCCTATATTACATTGCTTGATTGTTTACCATAATTCACATGAATCACAAGCAATTGATGTATCAAGATTGGAATCTTCCTCAATAGCCACTGATCCACTTCGAATTTTGCAGCCATCTCCATCCAAGCATGTAACTGCCTACAAGATGATAAAGTAACATAAGAATTTGGTATCAAATGATCAAATGTTGAAAAGTAAACTTGAAGAAAAAATAAAGACGCAAATTACAGGATTGGGGAGAAAAAGAAACAGAAGGATACTAATCGGACCTAAATGGGAATGACTTCAAAACCTAGAATTAACCTTAGTCTAACCATTACTTCAAAACCACTCTAACATCCAAACTCATCTTTTTAGCTTTTCTTACTTGATTGTTTTTTGTGGAGCATCCATATTAGAAGGTCCATATCCTGTATAAAGTACTAATTCAATTCCTCTCGGCTGCATCTTGATATAACGGGAATGGCTACAGATTACCCTAATGATGCTTATAAGCACAACACTACATCTCAGTCGTTAGACCAAAGTACTGGGTCTTCAGAAGAGATCAATGCATGGCACATAAGAAACCCAGGGAACGGAAAAAATTCACAACTCATGGGTCATGACTCATAAGATTCAAACGTAGAGTCATTTAAGGGAAAACAAATTTAGAACCATAAACGACAAGTAAAATATGTAGAATCACCTGACAACACTGCTACGTGAAAGTCAGTACTTTAAACCAAAAAAACACCTAGGAAAAAAATTATCAGGATTGCAAGAAGATTTTTAAAAGGAAAACATGCAAGGATAATTACATTTTCATCAATGTAGTATGATGGAAATGAGAGAGTGTTATTCGTCCCTTCAATACACCAATCATCATCACTGCACAGATGAATATGGAAAAATTAGTCTCTGCTGAAACTTGTCCACAATAAAAAATAAATAAATAAAGTGTCTTGGTTGCAAATTATTTAACAAAATCTTTGAATTCCAATTCCACATGAACGCTACAGATGAGTAGTAACACAGAACATGTGCCGCATATAAATGTGAACAAAGAACCCTCATCAATAGACTTAAACACATTATCCATACTTACGAAAGTACCTATAAGTTGAGTCCTCGTCTGCTTTGCTGCTCCCAATAGTATCATATACCTTCACATACAAATCAAACTCGTATGATTTAGTGCCACTTCAAACCAGCATCAAATCGCTATTTTGAGAAAACTTCAAAATAAAAATTCTGTTTGCAACAAAAAGAAAACTATTGAAAACAGATAGTTAAGAAATCAAAGTAACAACTGTGCTTTAAACTAGTTGTACATTAATACCATTCTATAATCCATAGCAATCATAACAGAAATAATACTAAAGCGATAACTGTTTATTTGCATCACTCACCGGAACACATGTGATCATTTGAAATTCATTCTGGCAAAGCGGGCAGAGGTTTGTAATGGTAGCCCAATTGTCAATGCATGAGAAACAGAACCTGAAAAACCCCAAGATGAACCCATGTCATAAAACAAAATTCCTCTCTCTCTCACACACACACACACAAAGCCACACTAAAGCACATACCAATGCTGGCAGCAATCGAGAACACCCCTGTCGATTATTGCATTCATGCATATCCCACATGTTTCACCCTCGAAATTGGGATTGTCCTGCACATTATGACAGCAAAATGAAATATAAAATAAATCTCAAACAGATACGAAACCAAGCAGCTACACTTAGCTTGCGTATCTAAACACACGAAAAGTAGGTCACTATCCACACTAGCTACAATGTCTGACTTATTGATACGAAAACAGCTCAATCATACACTGCAGCTCTTCAAAATTCAGCAATTGAAATTTGAAAACGATCATTTCGGCCAATTTACCGAAAAAGGAAACTCATTTGCTCCATAAACCCTAAACCCTCAACGTAATCAAGCTACCGGTATATAAATAAGCTAATAAACTGCATGAAAAATACTTGCACAGCTCAATAAAAAAAAATAAAAAAAATTAAGAATTTGAACTTGAAGCTTACATTTTGATAGTTCTCATCAACTCCAAAAGCATCTTCCTCTTGCATTGGACTCGTAACTAAATCAACTTCCATTGTATCACCCAACACTCGCATCTTAACTAAAACCTAATCAAACAAATAATTACGAAAAATTACAAGAAATAAAAATATGATTTTGTATAATTTAGAGATCAACGAGGAAACGGAAACCACGAGAGCGGAGAGATTACCGGCGAAGGGGAGAGACCGCCATGTCTGTGTATTTCTGGGAGGAGAAAGCGACGGGGACGATGAACGAGTTCGTAACTCGGAAACTTGGAAGCGTTTTTTACCGCTCACCACCCAACGTGATGACACGGCCCATCTGTAAGCCCAGTCACATGCCACGAACCCCAAATTCAAAATCCAACGGCTCTCCTCTTCCCTTGGAAAAAAAAAGACATCACGTAAATTCAACGCTCACTGATGACGTGTCCTTTTAAAATCCAAAACAGCTAATCACAGGAGTGATTGTCAACTACGTGAACAACCATTCACGCGCATGCTGTTTATTAGGTTCTTGGGTTTATATATAAATATAGTATTAATCTGGTCGGCGAACCGTAACAAAAACAAATTAAATAAATAAATAGATACATGGGCCATCTAGATTCATCTGTAAATAATGAAGGTAGAAGAAAGGGATTGATTGAATATTTTAAGACAAATGGAATCAAAATAATGAGAGGAAGATGGCTTGGACTATTTCTGTACTAATAATGCATGTATATGGAGTTCCACTACTACTTTTGAGCTTTGAAGGAAAGTGCTTTTGAGGTTTGAGAGCACCAGAACGCACTACCCCAGGTGAGCCCCACGGATTCTAAGGCAAATATACGGCTTTTGAGGTTTGCATGCGCCTGTTTTTTTGACTTTTTAGTAGGTAGAAATTAGTTTTGTTTTATTTTTGACAGAGAGGAAGAATGGGATTTGAAAACAATTTGGTGTTTACTTGAATCTGCAGGGTGAAAATCTTGGTTTAGATTTCAGACGATCAGAGAGTGCTCTAAATTGCGCTGCAGGTTGACTTTTCTGAGTGTTTTACAAGCTACTTGCTTCATTTGATTTCTTTTTTCTTTTTTTTTGGTAAACTGCTTAATTTGATTTCTTGATTTTAATGAAACAGTTCTATAAATGCTTTTTTTCAAATTTGTTTGGTTTGCTGGATCTAGTCTCTCTACAACACCAATGGTTGTAGTGTGTGTGTGTATTTGTATGTGTGTGTGTATATATATGAATATTTGTATGTATATAACAGGTGCTTACCGAGAAAATAGTTGACCAACTAAAATATTGTTTACATTGGCGGGATCCGAAAATGAGTCTCAGTTTCTTGGTGTCTTCTTCTTTTCTGGGATATTGTTGTAGGAAGTTATGATTTCCGGAAACGTTTTGAAGATTACTTCTCAGAATACCTATTTTTTATGTATTTTTTCACTGGATTCTGCAGATAAAAATTAAATCTCGATAGTCTTCTATCGGAATCATGCTGCACTGCTTTTGCTTCAAGAGTTCGAGAGTTGATAGACTTGGATATGAGGACCCTAAAATTCTTGCTTCAGAAACTGCTTGTAAGTATATAATTCCAAGAGTTGCGCTGTGGAACTTTAACAAAGTTATGTTGATTGAGATGCATGCATCATCCAATATTTATTTCCAGCATTGTACATGAACACGAAGCCATCGCTATGCTGCGCATATAGCTTTTTATTGCTGATTATCTTCCTCTAGCCCATCTCTTTTATAAGTTTGGAGAAGGAAGTATATTCTATGTCTGTGCCTTTTATCTTCACATGCTACAATTCTACCGAGCGATGCCTTGGCTTTTGTGGCACCTTCGTCCATGCTCATGCTAGCCAAATGTTGCAGCTGCAACAACACGCACTCTGCGTGCTATTTCCGGATGTTTGATACTTTACTAATAATGTTGATTGCTTCATTTCTATTGCGTTACCATACAACTCCGCCCTCTTTCACTTGCTGTTGATGGGCTTGCATAGGTGGTAGGTGCACCACAACCACCATCGCCCATACACCATGCCCTTATTTATTTGAATTTTTTGTATATTTGGTACTGGCTGGTGTTTGTATGGAATATATGGTCGATCATAATCTGCACAGTGCACATATCAAATTTCTGAATTTAGTACTTTCGATTGTTTGACAGTTACGGTAAATGAAGTGGAGGCCTTGTATGAACTGTTTAAGAAACTATGCAGTTCCATAATTAAAGATGGTCTTCTACACAAGGTATTTATTCCTAAGGTTGCATTTTGATCTTCTGACACACATTCTTGAGATGACATTTTGTTTGCTCTACACTCGGAGAGCTATAGAGATTATGTTGTTGAAGTTGAAAGTCGAAAGAATCTTGCTGTTTCATTTTCTTATGTTACTTATGCACTGAATCTTTGACATGACATGAACAGGAAGAATTCCAACTTGCACTATTTCAAAGCAGCAGTAAGCAGAACCTTTTTGCAGATCGGGTGCGTTTACATAAGTGTTGCTTAACTCGTTTGACGTTTAATTGTAATGTTTTGTGAGATTGTCTACTTTAGATCAAATTTTGCATACAAAAGAAAAGGGCCATTTATGTGCGTTGGTAGCAAATGAAGTCCGTAAATCCTTGGATTCGCTACTGTAAAAACTTCTTGAAATCTAGAGCCTCCCAGCCTAGATCAGCGTTTCAATGCGTGCACTGTCATAACTATCGTACTGAAACAATCTGACTGTTCGTATAGTTTAGCTAGCTTAAAACAATTAAACGAGGAGCTTTTCAACCATATCATGGTTGTTCACTTTTCTAGTCATTTTAAACCAAGTTTTTTCCAGGAAAAAAAATTCGAGCTGTTGAACCATACTAATACATGAACCACATAGCCTAGATAAGGAGCTAATTCCAATCGAGATTTTAAGATATATTCTAACAATCTGCATTTTGTCATTGCAGGTTTTTGACTTGTTTGATCTCAAGCGCAATGGGGTCATTGAGTTTGGAGAATTTGTTCGGTCATTAAGCATTTTTCATCCACGTTCTTCCGAAGCAGACAAAATCTCATGTATGATAACAGAAGATTGTGATTTGTGTTTCTTTTTTCTTCTCGTTGGTATCTATCTTTTTTGCTGCTTGTGTCTGTACAATTAATAGTTGTGTTGTTTCCACGGAATTCTTAAAGTTTATACTTCGCAGTCGCATTTAGATTGTATGATCTCGGACAGACTGGTTACATTGAGCGTTATGAGGTAAATCCCCTGCTATTTTTCTTGACCAATTTTTCTTCAAATGATATGAAAACTGCAGTTAAAGTTTCTTACTTTTTATTTTGAAACATGAAATATCTGCAAATCTGATTCTTTTTACCTCTCTATGGGTGTTGTCGATAATATTACCTTGGCAGTTGAAGCAGATGGTGTCAGCCCTTTTGAATGAATCAGATCTGGACCTTTCCGATGATGTTATTGAATCAATTGTCGAGAAGGTTTTGATTATTCTACACTTTGTTATTATACGTTCTTGTTTGCTCAGATTCTGTATTTTTTTCAGCCAACAGTTCTAGTTTTACTCGTCATTCTAATTTTAATCCCATTGTTCTTTGTGTTTTTCTAAAGACAATAACGGAGGCGGATTTAAACGGAGATGGCAGAATTGATCAAGAAGAGTGGAAGGAATTTGTAGCAAAGCATCCATCTCTGATAAAGAATATGACTCTTCCATATCTAACGTGAGTCCGAAACCCCTATCAATGTCACTGGTACTGCTTTCTTTCATCTATTTGACACTCACTCATTATGCTATCCATCGAAACAAGAAATCATATTGTACAATTCTTCGCTCTTGGTATAGCTCCACAGAGAAAGTACCAATTATCCATTTACAAAGCGGATTTTCACTTTTTCAGTTAACAAAATATGCTAATCAACAAACACATTTCCTCAAAGTTACATGCTTCTAAATTCAGCTTCCATTTTCTAGGGACATTACCGTACAATTTCCCAGCTTCGTGCTCAACACCGAAGTTCAAGACTAGACATAATCATACTTCAGAAACCCAGACACTGTCGCTGTTATTTCTTCTCGAATGCTAGACATGTCAAGTAACCAGCCTGTGTAAAGCCATGGTACATAGAGGAGGATAAGAACCAAAAGCAACTATTAAGGCTGCAGTTCATAGCATGATCCTTATTAAGATCAAGCACGGCATGGTAGATTTCCGACTAGGTTTTCGGTAATGAAGACCTCATTCGGCAAATACTCTTGGTGTTTCACAGTGTGTTGTGTAATTTAACTGCTTAACTGTAATCAAGGTGTAAATTTTGGTTTAGAATTCCCTCTTTATTTTACTTGGATCGGATGGATCCCTGTTTCACACTCTGGTTGAAAGTTAAATGTTTGTTAATTTCTTTGCTAAGAAGAACTGAATGTATAGATTAACTGGCACTGAGGAGGGACACACAACATTGAACTTTTTTGTTGAAGCACTTTTTTTCTGGTCAGGTGGAAAGTGGAAACATTGTTGAAAATAACCGAATTTGGTACGAGTCTGCCTTTGCAACAGATATTTCTTTTCTTTCCAAGTTTTGCTAAGAGATTATCGATCATACATGTTATCTTCTCAAGGAAACAATAGCACCGGGTACCTAATTTGATATGGCGATTTATCGAGGGACTCGCATCAATCAGCAGTAACTGATCGTCATCCACATTCATGTATCCCTAACTTTTATGGTTAAAGGAATATTTTCAAGAGAAGTTAAAGAGAAGAACCAGATTCCCAAATTCCAGATTCAAAACAATGACCATTGCTATGAAATTTCTTTGTTCTTCAATCAAGGCATGTGCAAATGCTTACCGCAAGTTAGAATTTCCACCAAATTTGTGAGCAAAGATATTTTAAGTCCTCACACTATATTCACCAAGCCCGGATAAAGAAGGAGGGGGAGTGCGTCAAGTAGTCGAAGAATGCGTAATAAAAAACTTTTTTTAATTCACCGACTCTTTTTTCGTTTTGCCGACGCGACAGTCGGCACTTTGTTCTTCACGTCGAATGCATATGACACTATATACACACTTCTAGTTTCATATAATATTCCATAAATCCTGTTAACTAAAGCAGCCATTGTTGACTAAAGAACTAGGAAATCAGACATGAAATCCATTGTAATTAATAGAGTAGTTGTAAGCAGTAAATTTAGATATAGGCAGTAGTTTCATACCAGTTTTTTATGACTTCTTGTACAGGTTTCATACCTAATCATCATTGCTTGTATTCCTATAAAAATCCTCCGATTGGGAGATGAATATATCAAGAAATTAACTCTATTTTGGCATGGTATCAGAGCCATTCTGATCCAAAAAAAGAGTTTCTATTCTGATTAACCTACTGGCACTACTGCCATCTACCCCATAAGACCTGCAGAATAGCAGGCCTTCTACTTTCATACCAATCCAATCTCTCTTTTTGGCCATATCTACCAACATCACTACCCATATTGAGCTTGTTAACCATATACATTTCGTTGCATCTCTACCCATCTTCTGTCCATTTGCAATATCTCCACAAACCCAGAAAACTTTCCAAAAAAAAAATAAAATAAAATACTACCCTATACCCTATAAACCATACCCGTTGGAATCACCCAACAAACCCATGCCGTCGCCTCTTCCTCCTTGCATTTTGTTCCTGCATCTCTCTCTGTGAGACAGACTCTCTCTTGTTTCAATGAAGAGAATTCGTTGCAGTAGTAATGGGTGACTTCTAGACCAGTGTTTCAGCTACTGTTAAGCAAAATGATGTGTCTCTGCATATCACCCTAGACAAGTTGGATGGGTCCAACTATTCCTCGTTGTCCCAAAGTGTCTGCATCTATATCACTGCCAGAGGCAAATGGTCCTTATGTCAGTGGAAAAAGAAGGCACCAGCAGAAGCCAATGCATCGTATGCTATATGGGAGGAAGAGAATGCCATGATTTAGTCTTGGCTACTCAACTCCATGACCAGATATTTGTGGGCCATTTTTCTCTGACTCTTTACTGCAAAAGATGTTTGGGATGCTGTTACCCAAACTTACTTGATTGAAAAAATGCATCAAAATTATATGAACTTCGCCGTTAAGCACTGGCGACTCGCCAGAATGGTGAGCCTTTATCTGCATATTATGGTAAACTTCAGCAAATAGGGCAAGAAATAGATTTCTTGCGTCTTGGAAAATTGAAATGTGTTGATGATGTTTGCTGCTCGAGAGACATAAATTTCAGAAGAAAGATTGTATGATTTTCTGGCTGGCCTTTATCCTCATTTAGATCATGTTCACAATCAAGTTTTGACTCAAACACCTTTGCCATATGTTCATGCTGCTTATGTTCTTTTGAATGTTGAAGCAAGTAGGCAAACCATTATGTTAGTTGGCCCACAAGTGGAAGGATCAGCCATGGTAGCTACTCCGTCTCGATTTCCTCATGGAGTTTCAAATTCTAGATCAGGTGGATCTAAAGCTACTGATACAAGGAAGTGTACTTATTGTGACAAGGAAAAGCATACTAGAGACACTTGTTTTAAGTTGCATGGATATCCTGATTGGTGGGTTCAAAAGAAGGAAAATCAAAAGAAAAGTGTTTATACCATACTTGACCAATCCCGAAACTACTGAGCACCGGTCAACGTTATACCGTCAAGGACCCAGAAAAGTTTCCCTCCAACCAGGAGGCCAATCACAGCGCGACACGTGTCGACATCAGAAGCCTATCATAGCGCGACACGTGTCAATGTCAGAATGAAACTAGAAACTCTCTTCTATAAATAGAGATCATTCTATCACAATATTTCCTAATGTCATTTGTACTACATCATTCACTAATACTCACTAAAGGAGAGCTTCAACCTATGTACTTGTGTAACCCTTCACAATTAATGAGAACTCCTCTACTCCATGGACGTAGCCTATCTGGGTGAACCACGTACATCTTGTGTTTGCTTCCCTGTCCTTATCCATTTACTTACTTATCCACACTAGTGACCGGAGCAATCTAGCGAAGGTCATAAACTTAACACTTTCTGTTGTACCAAAGTCCTTACTGATTTTGTGCATCAACATTTGGTGCCGTCTGTGGGAACGACACTTATTCCCACTCTCTTCAGCTTTGTCAAGCTGGTTTCCACCATTCGTACATTCTCTTTTGACCAGGCATCCCTCTCCAACATGAGGAGCGAAGGAAGCCACAGCACACAGAATGACACATCTCTTGCACCTGTGCGAAGTAACGAAAGAATGAAGGAAAGAGGGTTGCTCTTCAAGCTAAAATCGATTAGCTAGAAGCTCAAAACAACAAAATAGCAATGAAGAATGAGGTCATCCAGGAGCAGTATGAGAAGCTCTTTGAGACGCTCCACGAAACTATGCGTACTCAAACACGCGAGCTTGTTACCCCTGTGGACATCAACCATAATATGTGTGCCCCCCAACACGGAGGGTCACCTTCTTTCGACATAGCTATCCCTGATAAGAAGCGAGCTAATCATCAAAACATTGATCAACATGAGACTTCTCTCAACCCAACTACTTCGACCCGAAGCAGGAGAAGTGGAGGAAGACACCTCCTTGCAGAAGGGTTGGAAGGATCGAAAGTCGTTTATCGTGACTGCCGAGACTTCCTAAAGCAACGTCGAGAGAATCCCCTCCACATATGCTCGAAGATCAATGACCCAAGGGTTTCTGAAAGACTCGGTCCCCTCCCACGACCCAGGCCAGCTGCCAATCTAGGGAAGGAACGACATGTCCTAGAGGAACATGAAGGTACAGGAGACTATGAGGTATTCCGACAGACTCGCCCTAAAAGTCAGTACGGCGAGTCTAAGGAAAAATCACAAGCCCTTGCTCAAACTTTCCTACTTCAAAGAGGCGATGGAGACTTACGAAAGAAAATCTCAGTGGTACATGACTCCACTCAAGACCCCTTTATCCTACAGCTCCTTGAGGAAGTAAACAAGTTGAAGGCCGAACGTCAGGCCGAGATACCTGACTGGAACCAACCCAGGCTTGGCCCTCTCACAAGGAGGATCCTTGACACCCCCCTTCAAGTGAAGACAAAACAAAAGCTTGGTTTACAACTCTATACTGGAAGGGAGGACCCAACTGAACACCTTAACCTCTTTGAGTCCACCACAGCATATCGGATGCACACCGACGAATAGCGATGTCTTCTCTTCCCCTTCACCCTCTCTGGCGGAGCTCTAAACTGGTATTGTCGTCTTCCACCTAAGACAGTAGACTCATTTGAGGAACTAAGGAAACTGTTTGTCTCTCAACACATCTTCCAGACCGATCGCTTGCATTCTGCAGATTACTGGTACACTATTCACCAGAAACCGGATGAGTCACTACGAGAGTATGCTGGTCGTTTCAGCTATGAGTATTCTCGCTGCGCTGAGGCAGATGACAAGACCGCTCTCAAGGCCTTCACGGCAGGGCTACGTGATTGTTTCTTCAAGTACATGATCAATGCCAACACTTGGAAGACTTACTCTGAGGTGATGGCACAGGCTTACAACCATGCCTCCGCCGAGGTAAGGACATATCAAGGGAAACCCCCCACAACCACCCCTTATCAGCAAGTAGGGAATGGAAGCCAGATCCAACCAAATGAGAAGACCTCGACTTTCTAAACGGTAGCGGTGCCTCCCCTTGCCTTACTTAATACTTTGCTAAGTCAACAGAGATATCAATCTCAGGGCAAAAAGAAAGATTTTCATCCTCACTAGTCTCATTTTAGTAAAAATAGTAAGGGACACTACCGTGATAACAAAGGGTATCGCCATGATAATCCCCGACCCCAGGCAGTCAACACAGTGGGTCAAGCACGTGTCAGGACAGCCCCTACCCTGAGGTATGAGGCATACACACCTTTGAACACCACATGCGTGGCCATTTACCCCAGCATAGCACATTTGATATCGAAGTCAAAGTCGAGGCACCCGGATTACAAGCCCACGAAGAACACGGGCATGTTTTGCTGCTACCACGAGCATAACGGCCATGACGGCGAGAAGTGTATCACCCTTCGTGATCATATTGAAGCTTTGGCACGTGAAGGAAAAATTGATCAATTCCTTCTTCACCCTCCAAGGGGTAACCGTAACCAATGCCAGGTAAATGTGATATATTCCATAAGTGGTGGTACACCCATATCTAAATCTTCCAACAGGGCCATGAAAAATAGTGAACGAGCTTTAAGGTCTGGCCACCAAGTGTTTCACGTGGAAGATATCAGGGGAGGTAAGTATCAAAAGCCTAACTGGGATCCAATATGTTTCTACCCTTAGAAAGAAAGAGGTATCATCTACTCTTATAACGACCCACTGATCGTGGAAGCTCACATAGCCAACTTTGAAGTACGATGAATCCTGGTAGACACAGGGGCTTCGGTCAATATCATGTTTGCTGAAGCTTTCAGGGCACTTAATGTAGCTGAACACTTGCTCGACCGCTCGATTTCCCCTCTGATAAGCTTCTCCGGTGATATCGTG